TCATATTTAATGAGTCACAGCGGGGTTCTGCACCAGAGGAACGAAGAAAAATGGCACTAAAGGAATTTGCAAGTTTGGTCTCATGCTATATGATTTTTAGGTGTTTCCATTCAGGGATGCAAACATCAGGAATGGAAAATTATACAAATACCCTCAGCACCTGATTTACCACCGGAGCCAGACAGCAGGAGAAAGCAGGTCTAAAGTATGAAGCACCGCTGTCAGCATGGCAGCTGTCAGTCATCTAAGACCTGATGTGAATTAACATGTTTGATGAGTGAGAGAATGTTTGTGAATCACATCACTCGCCAGAGGAGAATGTGAAGGACTTTTACAGGCTGTCAGGTCAAACCATGCTATGATCTGACTGGTAGAAGATGACATGATTGAAGTTCCAAAATACATCTGTTGGTTTCTTCAACCATATTAGAGTTCAGTCCCTGTAAACTCAGACTTCCTTCTAGACTTCCTCTCACTCCACATGTGCTCGGTATAGGCACCAGGTTCTTATAAGAGGCTGTGTATTTAAATCAACACAGCTGTGGCTGTGCTCATTTACATCATCAGTCTTGATAAACATGCAGCTAAATTGAAAAATTGTGATGCTGCAATATTTTGATCTATTGTACTAAAAACATATTCAAGCTTGGAAGGTTCGGCCACTGTACAAGGAGAAAATTATTCTTTTGGGAAAGACACTTTTACAGACCACTTCACATTTTCCAGCACAGTTTGGCACATAACCTCTGAACTATGAGGTCTCGAGACAAAGTTCATCTTTTACTAAAGTTCCTTGGTCCAGGACATGGCAGTCCATACTGGATTTGGACCAGGCCCATTTCTTTCTTTGCATTTTTATGGACATTTTGAATGTCTTGTGAAACATTTCTGCTGCCACTCCAAAAACAAATTTCTTCCAATCTTTACCAATAAATTTTATATATTTTAATTATTTATGAAACGTTTTTAAAAATATATACTGTATATATTCACGGCTGTTTATCCGTTATGTAGTGTTATTTTCTTTTCTAGATGTGACAGTGTTACTTTACACACCTTGTGCACCTGCAAACTGAGACTATACACATAACACCAAGCAAGCCTGTAAAACTTACATCTTATTTGCTATATTTCTGTATCATTACTGTGATTAGTGATGTTTGTGTATGTCAGTGTGTCAGATGAAGATTAAGAACTACTTCTGAACATTGTATATTATAAAATTAGAACATTAGAGGATGGTGTAGCCTTGACCGAAGTTGGCATCTTAATCACCAGGAAGTGAATGTGAATACTTTATTTTTCCTCCAAGTGAGAGCACGCACTGAGCGCCAATGAATCTGATGGTGATGTACACAAGCTTTTTTTATTATTGATTGTAGTTTTCTGAATAGCCTTCCGCATGGAATGAAAAGAAGCGAGGTGAATGTAGCAGATTAAATCAGCGATAAGTGGCGAACAAGCCCTTTCACAAAATGCAGATGAGATCCAACAAGATACTATGTTTTTTGAAATAAAACCTTCAAGAAGAGTGATGTCTCATAAAAGAATGCATTTTTCTCTATTATAAGAAATCGGATGGAGTAGAAACAAAATGAGAAAAGCATATTCCTCAGTTTTAGTAATGAATTCAGTGATTATGTGGCTTTCAAAACTAGAAAACCCAAATTGAGATGGTAGAGACAGAGGGATGAAACGCATCCAGGTGAGATAATGAGTTTTCTGTTAAGCTCTGCAACATTCATCTGAAACATTACAGTGTGCATCATTTTATATGAGATTGCCAATTTAAAGTAGCATCATGTCTGACCTGTCTTTGGTGTACTGACTACAATTTAGAAACAGGATTTATACAGTTCTCAGCATGTATTTATAATGACACGCCCACAGATGGCTCTGCAGGGTTGATGAGCCTAATTATCAGTGTTATTGTGTAATGATGATTATTACATCGTTCGGTATTAGAGGGCCATCTTTGTTGTCTGTATTATCCTAGATTAAAAACAAAGAGATTAGTAAACAAAATGTGCTCATTTCAAGATTCACATTCTTTTTTTATATACAGGTTGGTCTTAAACAAGACTCTTGTAAAAGAGATTTTTAATCTCAGTGAGGTTCTAGTAAAAAAAATAAAGGTTTAATAAGAAACTATTGTAATTATTAAATTTGATGAAGAGTTGTGACTAAAAACAGTTTCTCTGGCTCGTACAGTGAAGTTAGAAATGTAGGTGAGTTATTTAACCTTCCTGTTATGTTCTGGGTCAAATTGACCCAGTGCAAAGTAACAAAAAAAATAAAAAAAAAATAGTTAAAAATATTTTATTGGTATGAAACTTCGTCTGCTTGGCGTAATAGGTGTGATCAACATATAAAATGAAAATGGTTCAATTCACATATTTGCAACATCCCCCTGCATGTTTATATTACAAAGATACTGTTCAGGTCAACATAACAGGAGGGTTAAAAAAAAGACGACAGGTCAGAAGAAAATCTAGTCAATTATTATAATGAAATCTTTCATTTGAATGAATGTGTTTTGTTAAAAGTCTGCATTTCTAGGCACTGTGATCTACAGCACTATGAGGGGTGGAGAGGAGCTGGAATAACAGAGTGAAGGAGAAAAAGAGGCATTGGCGTTGCTCTCTTTTACACAACTTCTTTACAGAATAAGAACTGCACAGGTAGAAAAACATATTTGAAAGAGAAACAGACATACAGCACTGCTGGTATTTCACATCGTAATTCACAATCTGTTTCTAAAATTACTATTTGTGTCTCTGGGTGCCCTCAACTCTTCCATATCTTTTTTCTAAATAAACATTTGGAGTTGCTCTCTGCCCACTTCTGAAGCCCTTCCTCAGCAAAGTAATAATTTTAAGATGAATTCCATGCTAACTGTGTGACAAGGGAAGATTTCATCCTTATTTGTCCGGGAATTTCCAGCACATACGCAAAACGCTGAATGGAAAAGAGTCAGTGTGGTAGTAGAAAGAATTTGTTGCACAAGCAAGCTTTGATCACCACTATGCTCAAGCTGGTCAGCAGCAATGTGCCAGATCTCATCTACTCACTAATACGCCATCGTCTGCACATGGCCGACAACATCAGGGGATTAGTTACAATGTCCTAGGAGACATCATTTGGACAGCATGTTGCAACTTGAGCCAAACAAATTTGTCTGCACCTTCATACAAACCATTAATCTGAAAACATCCCCTGAGGATTTTAGTGACTTTCACCTCACTGTTTTGGTTTTGCAGCAAGCAACTTTAATGCTCTGGTTCAGTCTTACTCCTTGTATCAGTCTTGTTTCCAGTAGCAGTAGTCAGTGGATGACAAACCCACTGCCCCCAGCCTGCCCAGAACCAAGCTTCAGGCAGAGTTTCCCCTAAAAAGATGGTGAATGATGCATTTACATTTGGCTGGTAGACAGAAACATGAGTAAGGCCGAATTGTAATGTTCCTCCTGGTCTGCTGAATGTATCATTAGGCAACTGTTGGCTAACAAGTTCACAAGTTTACATGATGAAAATGCCTGTTTTTACAGATTGTTCTACTAGTGGCCAAAAGACTGCCTTATATTCAGAGAGGGTTATATCAAATTAATTTGGTACCCATTTTTCTGGGTGAAATGGCTAATTATAAATGTTTTCCAGTTACCAGTCAAAAGTTGGTGTCTATAGATTCGGACAGAGTAAGACTTCATCAGGAAGAACCTACATTTATTTAGAATAGTGCCTGTTGAAAATAATCACAATACATCAGAAGTCAAATCTCTTACAAAATGTAGTATTCAGGAAATCTATTCCTTTTATTACATTCACTTATTCCTATCACATGTATTTACTTATTATATTCCTCTCACCTGTAATAAGTTTGCACTAGTGCGTGTTCTGTTGTCTTCTAAATTTGAAAGTTAATCTGAGCAGTTAACATGCCAGGTTGTCATCCTGGTCTGTCTTCGTCTGACAGGCAGATTTGTCACTGCGGCGTGTGGCCGTGTAGCCTCAGACACTCTGATGGATGGATGGGACAGAGGGACACAATGGCGAACAACACTGCACCACCCCTTGCATGCCTTTCTGCTCTCCTTCACTCTTTCACTCTTTCAGTCCCTCTAGCTTTGCCCTCTCCCCTTTTATCCATGTTCCTCCGTCTTCATCCGAATTTAATCCTCAACCTTTTGCTTCCCCGCCTCAGCTCCTCTCCCTTGCCCAAGTCTCCATATCCAAGGATGAGAAACAGCAGCATTTGGCCTCCTTTTCTCTCTTCTCCTCTCCTTATTTTCCTGCCCTGAACTAGGCAGATGGCGACTTGGCCCATTGCTCTTCTCTGTCAACCTCTCCTTGCCTTCCTACCCTGAAACAGATGCTGAGAAGCAGCCTGAGTTCTTCTCTCTGCCCTGAACATGGCCAGAAACCAAACACTCCTGCCTCACTCTTCTCCCACATTGCCTCCTCTTCTGTCACTTCTTCCTCTTCTCTTCTCTTGTCAGCTAGCAGTATAACAAATCGATCCGGCAATAATTCATCTAGATTTTCTTTCAGATAAATCTTAGTGCATCGGAAAGTTTCACATTCAACGTGTCATTTAATCCAATCTGATTCAAACTGGATTCTTCCAAATAATACATTAGAAAAACAACCAGAGTGATTCAGTCAATGGCTAAAATGAAGAAACTTTCACACTAAGACCACAAAGAGCGATTGGTCTGTATGGACTTTATTTGTCTCAGCTTGGTGCATCTGTATTCTTTTCAAGGAAAATTCTTCTACTATACACCTTTTCTGCTCTACAGCTCAGCAGAGAAGAGCTTACAAACATTCTCCACTCAAAATTAGACATTTTATGGCGGATCTCAACAATGTGAAGGCTGCTGTAGGTCAATATAAACACCATTTGCCATTCAAGCACCTCTGGGCCACATCAGTTTAAATGATTATTCAATGTGAAAATTAGAAAATGTCAAAACTGTTACTACTAATTTCTTTCTCACTCACTTCTTCCTCATCCTGCATCCGCCCCGAGAGGACGCAGTGTCTCCTGCTGCCTTTGTCTCTCGTCCTCAGTCAGTTCCCCTGGAAACATCCAAAGGGCAAAGATGAGGCTCACATCAGAACATCAGGAGTCCTTATAGATAAACACTGCAGTAGTTTGTGAGGCTGAAACAATGTTTCTTTACTGAATCGATGTCCATTGACATCAAAAGCTGCGAAGTAAAAATGACATGAAAATCAGTCTGTTAGAGCGATGGCTTTCTGTCATTCAGACAGGTTAGTTTTACATCATCTTCCTCACGGCTCCATTCACACACACCCATGGATATTCCCGGACCTCATAGTTTACAAATTAAACACTGGGTTCGACCTAGTAAGATTGCTGTTGTGCCTTGCCAACGTGTTCAGATTAATGAGAAAGAGTGCACGTCTGAAAGATGCTTAAAAGGAGTTCCAGAAGTAAAATGATGATGTGACTGATCACGAGTAGCGACCTAATGCTCACTCAAACAGACTCATGCAGCTCCAAAGTAAAATGATCGACCTCACACCTGCTCAGATAAAAAACAGTATGAATGCTTTCATCCATTTGACTGATAAAGTTCAGCTGGAAACGCTGGTTAAATTGAGTGCAAGTGGAATAAACTACCACTTCACCTCTCTCTCTCTCTCCATGATATTTTCTCAGAAGTTGTCACAGCTCAACTGTCAGCTCTGCTTTGCCTTTATTTCTTGGTGACGGGAACAAATCTCACTGTGTAGAATCCCCACGTTGTTCTCTACAGAAACTTTCTGCTGAACTTTTATTCATTCAGTGACGGCTAATCATATGTTACTTTATATAAGATTTATTTTTCTCTGTCCCTGCAGAGTGCGGAGAAGACTGAAATGGGTACACGTTTACTGAGAGCAGTGAGAATCCAGCTGCCACAGCTATCCTAAAGGTCTGAGGGACTGTTTGCTGACTGGTGTTTCAAATTTCCAGC